TGGCACGTATCCTTAAATCGGGCCTGTCCCTCTACAGGAGGAATATTCAAAAATATAAAAAATATAAAGGGGACGATGTTTGGAGCATTTTTGAGCCATTTTGGATTATTTTTTTACTATTTTTAATTCTTCACCAGAAATCCCCCTGTAGGGGGAAGGGCCCGACTTAAACGTATCCTGGCGCGTCCCCTGGCACGTCCCCTGGCTTTCGCGTCCCGTGGCCCGTCTACGGCGCTTCCCCCGACACGTTCCCTGGGGGTTCCCCTGGCACGCCTCTGCGCACGTTCCCTGGCGCGCTGCCCGGAGCTCCCACTGCCACGTCCTCTGGCGTGCCCACGGCCACGTCCGTCCCCTGGCACGCCAGCTGGCGCGTCCCAGCGCTTCCCCTGCCCGCGCCGTGGCGCCTCCGCCCTCGCGTCCCTGGCCGGGTCCCCCTGCGCGAGCCCTTGAGAAGTCCCCTCGCATGACGCCCCCTGGCACGCCCCGTGGCACTCTCCGTGGCAGATCCTTGCCGCGTGCATGGCCCGTCCCTGCAGTCGTCCTCCCTCGGCGCATCCCTTGGTGCACCCCTGGCGCACCCTGGGGCGCGTCCATGCGCCCGAGGGCCCCCCTGTCGGTCCGCACCGTGCAGGAGCCGAATGTGGCCTTGAGCTCGAGGCCGGTCGAAGACCAGGCACGCTTCGACTACCACCAGCCCTTTTAAAACACACAGACACAACTAATCGTTGATCCCCAGGGAATATGGGAAAATATGGGAAGTGGGGGGTAAGGCAAAAATCCAGAAAATATTTGAAAATATTGTGAATCCTGTTATTTTGTCTATTTATTTGTGTGTCCCAGGGCCCCTTCACCCTGGGCGATCCATGCGCTCCCGTAGCTCGAGCCAAAGATCCAGATCGGTCCTGTCAAGATACAGACGCTAAGCACGATTGGACTCACAACGCAATAGGGTACAGCACGGGTCAGCACAATATGTATGGCACAGCACATGTAAGCGCAGCGCGGCACAAGATCGAAAATTGGAGCATATGCATTACCAGTGACGGGCGGTTTCTCAATCCCAGGACTCTTTTGAGGGTCGGGGACGACGTCGGGATGGTGTGGTGTATACTTTTTGTCCCCGTTTTGCTGGGGAAACAACGAAGAATGTATACACCAGGATCCCGTATACACCAGGATCCGCTTTCTTGTGCGAGTTCCAGTGCAGGGCTGGAAAAAGCGTCGGTGTATAGAGTTCGGATCCCTACAAGACGGCACAGCGCAGCATAGCATAGCCCCTGTCACAGTATTGTACCCGCGGATTTCCTCCGCGCTGCCACTGGTTCACGGCCCAAGGTAGGTCAGGTCTGTACCATTCTCCAGAATGGTATGTCGGTCGACTTTCCTTCATACCCAGCGATGTCGAGAAGCGCTGGTGGATGACGGGGAGTGTTTCTGAGAAGCGAGAAGCGTGGACTTTTGTTCTCTGGCTGAACTTCAAGATTCAGTTTCCTATGGGTCTATCTGTAAGGGCTTCGCCCCATGCCGCCGACCCCCTGTCTCGGATAATAGGAGATGCAAAAGCTAAATCATGAGGTCTGGGCGCCGCCGTGAAGCAGTGTCGGGACCTGTTTGTTTTTCGATCCTGACCCTACGGATCTGCGTCACGGGTGCCACCGAATTTCAGAAATGTGGCAAATCCACTGTGATTTTGGACTCTGACCCGGCCGATCTGCGTGAGGGGTGTCACCGAATTTCAGAAATGTTGCAAATCCATTGTGTTTTTGGACCCTGACCCCGCCGATCTGCGTGAGGGGTGCCAGCGAATTTCAGAAATGTGGCAAATCCCATGTGTATGTGGACCCTGACCCTGCCGATCTTCCTGAGGGGTGCCAGCGAATTTCATAAATGTAGCAAATCCGACATGTTTTTGGACCCTGACCCTGCCGATATGTGTGAGGGGTGCCAGCGAATTTCAGAAATGTGGCAAATCCCATGTGTATGTGGACCCTGACCCCGCCGATCTGCGTGAGGGGTGCCAGCGAATTTCAGAAATGTTGCAAATCCGATGTGTTTTTGGACCCTGACCCCGCCGATCTGCGTGAGGGGTGTTAATTTTCCCACCCTAGCAATTCAGAGCACACTCTCAGGGCGTAGTAGAAATGCCTTTTTTGGGCCTCCCCCCCTCGCGTGGTCCATCAACAAGGAACAGTAAGCAGCAAGAAGCAGAACTGCAACGGTAAGCAGCAAGAAGCAGAACTGTAGCAGTGGAAACTGGAAGCTGCAACTGGTACAGGTGACTCCCCCGCCTCCGCCCCCCACCCCATCTGCCGCGCCTCCTGCTTGGAGAGAAAGTGCTGGTCAGCAGCGAGGGCGAGCCCCAGCGCGTTCGAGTGGCTGGCGGGCCCTGCCGGAGCCAGGGGGACCTTAGGCCTACAGCTCGGTGGCCCCACAAGGGGGCCGGCGGATCTACGCGCAGAAACCAGACCCCATGCCTTGGCATCGCTCGGACGTGTGCATTTTTCCGTCGGCGAGGACCATCGAGGAGCATCCTTGATCATTTGGCGAAAAAACCACGCACGAAACCGAAAAAAGCACAGGGAATGGACGTCCGAGCGATGGCGAGATGCCGTCACCGCAGGAACTGCAGGGACGGCAGGCTCGCGCCGCGGCGGCGCGGCGGCGACCCCGGCCACGGGCGTTCAAGGTGGAGTGCCGCCAGCTCGGGGGCGGAAAAGAGGGGGGTGATGACTAGGGGGGGGTGGATATCATGGCGGGGGCCATGATATTTCCCCAGATTTCATGGCGCCTCTTCTTGTTTCATTACGTCCCTGGCCCCGCCGCTGGGCCGCGCACATGCCGCCGGCCATGATTTGCACCCCCCCCTCTTGGACACCCGCCTCTTGGCCGCTACCGACCAGTGGCCCGCGACCGGCCTACACACAACGGGCGCCGTTGAGCCGCCATCGTTCGGCGCTGATCGATCCGCGCGGTGTCACAAGCCGGCGCCGAAGTCGTCTGATGAGCCTGTCGTCCACCACCACCGCCACCAGGAGTTGGAGGGGGGAAGGAGGAGGAGGGCGAGGAGGAGGAGGAGGACGAGGACGAGGAGGAGGAGGGCGAGGAGGAGGAGGAGAAGGAGGGCGAGGAGGAAGGAGGAGGAGGGCGAGGAGGAGGAGGGCGAGGAGGAGGAGGAGGATCCTCTCCCCCTCCAACTTAGGGTGGTGGTGGTGGTGGAACGCAGGCCCGTCATCGTTCCGGCACGAGCTTCTGCGGTACGGGCAAGTCGGGCCTGCCCCCCTACAGGGGGATTTTGGGCGAACATTTCAAAGTGTTCAAAGCAATCTTACCAAAATGTTCAAAACTAGTCCAAGAATAGTCCCTTGACTATTTTAGTATTGTAATAGTTATTATTATTATTATTATTAGTATTAATATTATTATTACTATTATTATTATTGGTATTATTATTACTATTATCATTATCATTGTTATTATTCTATATTATTATTTTCGTTGTTTGTTTTTATAGTTTTTTTATGTCGAGGGACAGGCCCGACGTAACGGCACTGGCAAGACGCCAAGGCAGGGGCCTTTTTTCTGGGGACTCGCGTGGCAGCCCCACGGCTCTCGGGGGCCGCTCCCCCGAGCTGGTGCCGGGGAGAGCCTGCTCGTGGCCGAGGCTCGCCGTGGCCAGCGAGATCTCGTCTTGATCAGGAGAGGAAACAACACACAGACACAATTAACCGTCCATTCCCAGGAGAATATGGGAAAATATGGGAATTGGGGGGGGAAGACAAAAACCCAGAAAGTATGGGAAACTATGGGACATATTTTTATGTGTGTGTATTTATTTGTGTGTCCTGGGGCCCCTTCACTTAAGTCGGGCCTGTCCCTCTGCAGGAGGAATATTTCAAAAGTAGGCAAAACATTGTATAGGGTTTTAAAAAACTTGTTTTCAGCATTTCGGGGGAATTGGTTGAGTATTTATGAGATTTCGCCCAAAATCCCCCAGTATGGGGGACAGGCCCGACTTGAGTCTCATCCCGGGCAGTTTTTTTGACGGACCCGAGGCCGAGTATTCCAAAATTGGGGGGCAAACAAACCTACCTCGCTTTTGACCACCCTCGCTTCCAAGAGATGCCAAGCGATGCCAAGCTACGGCCTGTGCTGGTCAGGCCGCTTGACGAGGAGGCGCGTGGTATGACTTGGTGTTGCCTGGAAGCGAAAGCGGGGTAGGTAATTCACGCTCTGAAAGATAGGCGAAAAATTGTATGGGGACTATCTTTTTACTATTTTTCAGCATTGGGAGGGAATGTGTTGAGTATGTTTGATCTTTCGCCCCAAATCCCCCTGCAGGGGGACAGGCCCGACTTACGTCTCATCCTGGGCAGTTTTCTGACGGACCCGAGGCCAAGTGAGGGCCCCCAGAGCCCGAACAAATGGGAGAGAATGTTTCGTCCTGGCTTTTTTCAAGACGCGAGCTGGTCGACCAACATGCGTGCAAAACCGGACCCTGGACCCCTCCTGGTGTCCATATTGGCCAGCCGCTGGAGCTGCGTGCAGCCGTGACGACGAGAGCCCCCGGAAGCGTGCAACACACTTCGCCCCCCCCATCGTCCTCGATCAAGGGGAGGCCAGGAACGTCAGATCCAACTCCGATCCTGAAGCAGCAGGATCCTTGCATAGAGTTGCGCCCGCTAAGGCTGTAGGACTGTTTGCGCCGCCGATGTGTCGGCGATGCGGCGCGATCCTCCGACCCCGTCTACTCCGACCCCATCTAGAAGGCTTCTACGTGACGAGCACGCAACCGTTGGCCAAAAACTCCCAGAGGCCGGGATCAATCGGCTCGTACGAGGCGCTGCCGTGCCTCCAAGACGCGTCGGACGTCCGCAGCGGGAGGGCGTCGTGGATGGCAGCAGGAGGACTGCGCTGCGGGCCTCCTCTCCCCTCCCTGCCCCCCCCCGCCTCCCCATCCCGCGCCCTCCGCCGTCTTCGCCTGCCGTTTGGCGGCGAGCCCCATGGGGGAAGCGAGAGGGGCAGACCTTCGCAGACGCCGTGTTCTTCATATCTTAGGAAAGATAGCTTCTCGGAAGGCCGGAGGCCTTCCGAGCCTTCGCGCCCCTGGGATCGCCGCCGGCTTGCCCGCCGCTCGTCTGTCCGTCGTGTCGTCGCCCTGTTCTCTGCCACCGGGCTCCTCCCGCGCCTGCCTCGAGACGTGTCGCGGGCCGCGCCCGAGGTCCTTCTCCTCCATCGTGGGACCGAACGGCAGCGGCAAGTCCAACACGATCGACGCGCTGCTGTTCGTGTTCGGGAAGCGCGCGAAGAAGATGCGCCTCAACAAGGCTGCGCGCGACCAGTGGTCTCTCAGGAGGACGGGTTACCAATGTCGCCAATTGCCCCTCCCTCGTTTTTGCCGTTAAGGGGCCTCCAGGGAGGCTCTCGTCGCCACGGTTGGTTTCTTCTCGAACTCATCTTGGTCAGAACGCACCCCAGGAGAGGTCCGAGGATGAGCCGTATCGACATTTTTTGTTTTCCGAGTCTGTCCGCTAACGATTGGCGGAGCACGCGAAGGGGGAGGCCCTGGAGGCTTCTGAAAGGGTTAGATGAAGGGAGGGTTTCTGCGAAGACACTTGCTTTCTTGGAGGCCCTGCATGTTCTTAGAAGGCCGCCCCCCCGCAGCGCCACCTCGTTCTGCGCGCCGCCAGTGATGACCCAGATATCCGATGTCTTGAAATGAACATGACGTGTTTGTTGATTCGAGGGGTCCAGGCATCCTTTCTCGAGGATGAAAGGGTCGATGTTTTTGAACCGTTTTGAGGGGTGCCCGCTGTTATGGCTGCACGCGGTTCGAGAGCCTGGCCAGGATGGACCCCAGCAGGGTTCGGGGAGCGGATTTGAAGGGATGTTGATCGACCAGCTACAGTCAGCCCGTATCAGAAGGATGCGCGGTGAGGATGTCAGGGCCTTTGAGGCCCATGTGTGCGTTTTTCGAACGAGGTTAGCCAGCGAAAGTCGCTAAGGATGGGCCGAAGGGGCAAGGATCCAAGGGTACCCTTGCGAAGGTTGCCCATCCTTACTGTGCGGGTTGGCTGTAGCGTTGTGGAAGTCGATCAATGGAGAGGAAGCATGCTGCCGAATAGTTCCCAGACGTCTAAAACATGTGTTAAACATGTTGTAGACATGTAAAGAACATAAGTAACAGATGTTTCGATTTTTCCGGCACGTGGAGCACACTTAAAGTTCAATGATAGGACCGTTAGGGTGCCCATTTTCGTGGCAGAGAAGGCTCCTGCAGCTCGGCAGCCAGCCCGAGGGGGCCGCCCGAGTGGAGCCGGGGAGGTCGGGACAGCCTCGCGGCACAGGGGGTCACTAAGGTGCCAAAGAGCTCTCGAGCTGTGATTGCGCAAGTTTCCTGCCTGGCTCTAGGGCGTGCCTTGCGACTTCTAGATTCGAGCCTCGGTGGCATCCACAGGCCCATCCTTCCTGTGCGGGTGGACTGCAGCGGCATGAAAGACTGAGGACTCACGATGCTCGCAGTGCTCGGCCTTCGGGGGCCCCCGCCAGGACAGGGCACCGGGATGGGACCTCGGCCCCGGGGGGAGGCCCGAGACTGCCAGGGAGCCCCGCCTGGGAAGCACCCAGACGCTGGATGCTCGGGCACGTATACGTACACACTGTTCATTCCTAGTTATTCGGGAGTTCTTTAGTTTTTTTTTGGGGGGGGGCAAGATCCTTTCATTTCTAATTGTTAGATCCTGGGCCTCTTCCTGGCCACTAGCGGGCCAGAAACGATTGGAAACGAGCACAAAACCCGAAATGAACGCGATTAGAAGTGAACGACGTGTACCACGCTTTCCCTCCTGCGTTCCCCCAGGGGAGGAGAAGGGAAAAGGGGAGGGAGGGAGAGGGCACAGCGCTCCAGAAGGGAGGGAGGGAGGGAGAAGGGAAACGGGGAGGGAGGAGGGAGAAGGGAAAAGGGGAGGGAGGGCAAAGGGGGAGGGAGGGAGGGAGAAGGGACAAGGGGGGGGAGGGAGGGAGGGACAAAAAGGGGAGGCCCCTCTCCCTCCCGCGTCCAGGGGAGCGTCGACGGCCCCAGGGCCCCGCCGCAGACCGCACCGGCCCAAGGGCGCCCACGCCCTGGCGAGCGGCGAGCGGGCCCTCCCTCCCTCCCTCCCTCCCTCCCCCCTCCCTCCCCCCCTCCCTCCCCCCCTCCCCTCCCTCCCCCCCTCCCCTCCCTCCCCTCCCCTCCCCCTCCCCCTCCCCCTCCCCCTCCCCCTCCCCCTCACTGAACGGGACTGGTTCGCCAAACCAGGTCAGGTCAGGTCAGAAGCCTTGCGCCAGACGGCGCGCGAGCAGGGTGTCACCACCCACCAAACCACCCCAACCCAGCCCGAAGGCTCAGATGTACCCTCGGTTTCCAGTGGGGGGTGGGGGTCGGGAAGCATCGAAAAAACACGTGTGGAACCCTTATCCCCCCCAACCCGAAATGCGGGTCTTCGGGTTGGGTTGGGGTGGTTT